GAGGAGAGAGGGAGGAAGGAGAAGGGGAGAGAGGGAGGGGGAGAGGGAGAGAGATGGTGTGTGTGTGCGCGTGTGTTAGTTCTGAGTATGCAAAAATACAGAAACAGGGAAGATTTCGTATAATCTAGGACTTAAGGGAGAATCAAAGCGTGGTGAAGGAGCCCTGGTGATATAATGTATTACTCACAGGCTATTAACTGAAAGGTCTGTGGTTCTAATCCACCAGCCACTTCACAAGATAAAAGATGGGCAGTTTCCACCCATGAAGATTTACAGCTTAGGGAACACAATGGAGCATCACCTGAGTCCGAATCCACTGAGGTGGAGCAGTAGGTATGGAGAGCAGCAAGGCCAGAGCAGGCATGTGGTGGCAGTGTCTGCTGTGGTCTGCGCAGGCCATGTCCACACATACGGGGCAAGGAAAAGAAGGTGGATTTCACTGTACCTCAGGATTTGACTGGTTAAAAGTTTATATTCTAAATAATACCATATTGATCCAAATGTGGACAGGTGACTCAACATTTTCAATAAGAACAGACAGGTTACAATTAAGGCTCAAAAAACCAAAATATATAGCACCATTAATCTTAAAATCAGGTTTGCTTTTTCTTTTACTATCCTGTTTCTGCGAACATTCAAGTGTAGAACAGTATTTATTCCATTTCTGTCCTTTCAAAGTTTCCCTAGGCTGAATGACAGGAAGCAAAAGGAAGCACACCAGGAATTTGCTATGCATAACCTACTTAGAAAGCATTTATTCAATTTAATCCCATAAAAATATCTTTCCACCAAGAAACAAATGAATGGTTAGAAAAACCATGGTTTACTCACACAGTGGAATACTATGCAGCACTGAAAAACAAGGATCTCAAAAATATTACACAACATGGGTAACCCTGGAGGACATTATGCTGCATGAAATATCTCAGTCACAAAAGGACAAATACTGTTTAACACCACTGTTATTAAACAGAACTGAGATGGGTGCCGGGAGGAAAATTAAGAAAAGAGGGGATAAATAATGGATTTTGCATTGTAACAGATGAGGGAAAGAACTGCTCAAAAGGAATACATGATTAGGCATTATTTGTATGACAACAGTCCAGAATAAGAGGTGCACAGCAAAGTGACCTGGGGGGGGGGGGGGGGGGGATTACACAACAATGAATTTTTTTTTAACTGAACTGAAGGGGTAGGGAGGAAAATGTGCAACAATGAATGCATGAAAATCCAAATTCTCTCCAAACTTTCATTAAAAATCACAATAAACATAGTTTGAATCCACCAGAGAAGAAGGGTCAATCTCCCCCTGTGCTATTCCTATCCAACTCAATGGTACACAAGAAGAAAAAAGAATTTTTTTAAAATCAAATTTAAAAAAGACTGTAAAGGAAAAATATCACTTTCCAGACATAACATATAAAAATGAGGGGAAAGGAGTATAAATGGAGAGTGAATACATCAATCTCTGTGAACTCATTATTATAGTAAATACCAGAAGGTCTACGAAATCAACTCGCACGCTCTTAACCTATGATGTGCTAAGAAATACCTTTTGCTTCTTACCCTTGGGCCAAGAAATAAATTGAAGTTATAGACATAATGAAGTTGGATGTGTAAAATAACAAAGTAAAAAGGCCAGACTTCCAAGTTTTGGTCTATATGGCCATATAACATCTATTCAGGTAGTCTCACTTCTGCTTGGGTGACAATTATCTTTGAATGTGATCTTGTTCAGTAAAGGAGATTACATCAAGGTGGAAACCACAAATTAAATACTCTCAGGTCTAATCACTCCTTAGAAAAAATGTGGACTTTATTTAGATAAAATGCCCTCTTCCTTCAGTAAGAATTATAAGAACAAAAATTACACTCTTTAGCCAAATACATTTCCTTCTTTTCTTCCTTAAACAAATGTTTAACTACCTACTACAAGGAGCAGAGCCTTTCCTGCAAATTACCACCCCTTTAGCTACTACCCAAGAGTCATGTTTGATTCTTCAAGCAAGACGGCTGATGAATACTACAAATTAAAGGCTTGCTACAGCTGGTCTAAAGATTAGGAATGGCTGTGCTGTCTTTATTGTAAACTTTTTTATCAGCTCACTCTCTCTATTTTTCTAAAAGGAAGATCCAACCTTACCCTAAAGCAATCACCCTAACTGCAACATCAGTGATGGAAGTAATGGGTGAAGACTGGGAAAATTTAGGGTGAAAATATTTAACATTTTTTTTCCTATTTACTCAAGGGAGGGAATTAAGACAAGATTTAAAAGGAAATTCATGCAATGTGTTTAACAATCTTTTAAGACAGGTTAGTTATTGTTTCCTAAGTTTAGAAAACTTATTTCTTGCCCAAGATCACTCAGCTAATAAGGTGCCTGGACCCCTGTTTGGCAGAAACCTAAAATACAAATCACCAGCTGTATCAGTAGATACAAGCTGCAATGGGTCATGACCGCATCAGAAAGGACTGTGGAAAAAAAAAAAAGAAAGGACTGTGGAGTCCACCAAACCTGTCTGAGCTGGGACTGAGATAAGACTATGTCTTTATGTAAAGGTAACCAGCTTGAAAGAAAAGAGATCCTGTGACCCTCATCTCATTAGCCCTATGACAAAGAGGTTTCAACTTCTTTGCCCTTTCACCCTTTTTAAAATCAAGATGTATCCACCCTTACCTAAGATCACCATCTCTAAAAAGGAGGGAAAAGGGTTGGGAAATTGTTCTTCAAATATATAAGCCACCAACTTAGTTCCTGGATATATGAATGCTTATTCAGCATATATATCACAAAGGGATTATGATATAATAATTTTTATTTACTATTATGTTAGGGACCTTTCCAGAGTCCTGAGAAAGAATATCAGTCTAGTCAGTCTAGAGACTAAGGTGTGCCTGATTCATCCAGTCCATGGTCTTTGCAATTACTTGCTATGCATCAGAGAGCTGGATAATGATTAAGGATAACGAAGAATTACTGATGCCTTTGAGTTGTGGTGCTGGACAAGAGTCTTGAACATACCATGGACCCCAAGAAAACAAATAGGTGTGTCTTAGAGAAAGTGAAAGCAAGGTTCTCCTTGGAGGCTAGGATTTTGAAGCTCCTTCTCACATACTTTGGGGATGTGGTCAGGAGGGCTTGATCCTTGGAGAAGGATATCATGCTCTGAAGGGTGGAGGGACAACACAGGAGAGAGAGACCCAGGATGAGATGGACTAATACAGGAACTAGGGCAATGGGGGTAGGTGTGTTGGAATTCGTGAGACTGGCTCAGGACAGGGCAAGCTTCAGAGCTGTTGTACACAGGGTCATAATGGCACGTAACAACATCATCAAATAAGACTGAGAATTTCAGAACACTTAATTATGCTCATGTGGAAACTGTACACAGACCAAGAGGCAGTGGTATAAACAGACAGACTAAATCTTGGAGAGTTAAAGTAAGATTTTTGCAAAGTGCATTTTAAAAGACAGGTACTATTTTTAAAAAGCAAACCAGAAACCCAATCATGATTATCCCTTAAAAGTGAGGATGGGGAGACTTAGTCTAACATACTCTGCACGTGTGCTTTTGACATAGTGACTCAGCAACGGGCTCAAGTGTATCAGAGATAACGACATAGGACAGCATGGTTGCTAAGAGTTGTACTCAACTTGATAACACCAAGCAACATTATCAAAATGAACTGGTCCCTGAAAAAAGATCATGCTTAGGAAAGTAAATTGTCAGCAAAAAAGAGGAAGACAAAACAAAAAAAAAAGAGGAAGATCCTTAATAGGACAGATTGGCACAGCAACTACAATGGACTCAGAGTAATAACTATGGGGATGAGGTAAGAAGGGCAGAGTGGCATTCTGTCTAGATAGAGCTGACTCTATCAGAACGGACTCAATGGCACCTAACAACAACAACACAGTCTAACAAAAGGCACAAATGGCCAAGCCTTACCTTCCTTGCTGAAGTTACCATGTGAAAGATATGCTTGAATGGTTGTATCATGAAATGTGACTGTCACTTTATCCATGTGTATCTGGCTGTGGCTCATGCATCTGTATTTTTTATCGATGTCTGCCTTGATGTCAGTTAGCAAGGAGACTTCAGTCTTGGTTCCTGTATACGTGAAGGGGGAAAAATAATAATAATAATAATATATACATAGGTATATATACATAAAATTTTTAATCACTTGCAGTTCTTAGCTCAAAATGACTTTAGACAATGCTTCCCAATCCAACTTTTTCATAATTATCAATTTTAATTCATTTCATTCTTACCCTTAGAGCTTGCATTGAGAAAATGACTTGAATCAGACAGGTTATATGTGAAACTTAGCATCTGGACATTGTAGCGTGTTGCATTCCTCGTAAAGTTTAGTGTCAACGTATATCCTCTTCCAAATGCAATCACTAGACTAGGTACAGAAGTGTTCTCTTTACCACAGGAGCTGCTATTATCCACAACTTTTGCATCAGATGGTAGGTCAATGGTCACATTCTACAACAAACACAATTACAACGAAATCTAATTAGAATCCACCTGAAACTAAACCAAACCAACTCCCCAATCACACTGACCCCTAGCGACCCCTATAGGTCGGAAGAGAATTGCCCCAAGGGGTTCTGGGGACTATAAATCTTATGGGAACAGACTATCACAGGCAGGTTCAAACCAGCGACCACATGGTCAACAGCCCAATGCTTTGCTTTTGGCAGCACCAAAATTCCCATAATAACGAAAGGATTTTATAGAGAGCAAAGTAAAGAATCTGACAAGCTTAGATCTTAACTCCATCCCAACTATCATGCAAAAACAATGGGGATGTTTATTACTGATATAAGCAAAATAACTAGAAAACAATCACACCTATCTAAATGACTGGAGTAGTTAAATGAATTATGGTTTAGTCAGATACTAATGCAGTTCTTAAAATAATGACACAGAAGTATATGAGTTGACAAAGCATGTTTTTCTGAACAGCTAAAGGATATCTGTATGAAATAATCAATATATTAAAAAAAGGATTAAAACAGTTTTTATATCTAGTCACAAACAAAAAAGTGAATGTAAAAATTAAAACGTGCTTGGGCAAAACTTCATAAACTGAGAAAGCTTTAGGAAACAAAATCCTTCCAATTTTCTTCTAATTTAATGGAGACTGAGAAGACAAATATAACCACATTAGCAAAGCCCCAGTACAAAGCACAAAGTCCAGGGCACTTAAAGGAAGGTCTTATCTCTCTAGCAATCCTGGCTTCTGCAGGTGTGCTCTGACAACCAGCAAAAAGATACAGCATTATGAACATGGAAGTGGATAAAGAAAAGTGAGCACTTCAATGGAAAATAAAATACAATTCAAGGATAGGTTTAAAAAGTCTAAGTACTAACTAGAATGAGTATATGAGATGCCCATGAATAGGAAAAGATACAAATAAATGTTATTTTTAGAAATGTATGGAAGCACTTTATTTATCCTATATAAACACAAAGTTTAAACAAAACAGCTAATGACACTCAAATTGGTGCAGCACTTGTGGCACTGTATGTCAAAGGAGCTGTTTCTGTGCACTTCCTAGAGTTACTAACTTATCTAGTAGTCTCTAGGTAATGCAAAGGATTACCACACTTCATTGCTAATCAGAGGGTCGGAGTCCACCCAGAAGCACCTTGGAAGCCCGCCCTGGGCATCTACTTCCCAAATATCAGGCAGAGAAAACCTCAAAAAGCACTGGACAGAATCACACTGTCAGCAACCAACCGATTAATAACTTATCTAATGTCAATTCAACAGATCAAAAAACCTACATTCACAGAGCTTCCACCGGGCAATGAAAAAAGAATATTTTAAAACTTGCCAACTAGCAAAAAGTGTGGCTAAACAAATTACAGTCAACATAATTACGTATCACAGTGAGATTATAAAAGACAATCCTCAAAAGAACTAGAAAAATGTTCACGATGAAATAGTAAAAAGCTTAACACTACACTGACTGTGCACCACGACTGCTGCCACATCACGGAAAATAGTATATGTTACTGACAAGGCTGAAGGAAATTTTGTGTATAGAAAACAACAACAGTGTCTGGGTGGAACTGATTATTTTCTAAATATTTTAAAAGGTCCAATAATCTTTACACACACACACACACACACACGTACAAAGCAGAAATGACCTTGGTGTTTCTTACCTTAAGACCACTCTTGCTCTCATAGTTTACGAGGAAGGCAGCAGAGAAGTCGGCCATTATGCAAGCTGTTTCATTATTTTTCACCTCAAAGATTGAAGATGCACCATGTGTGAGGCCTGCTATTTCCAGAAAGGACAGAACACTCAAATAAATACCTCTGTGAAAATAAACTGGGTAGTCCTATTTTCTAAAGCTTGTAGCAATAATGAATTGTATCTGAAGATTCCACTGTGCTTCACAATCCACTACAAAACGCATGGTTTATAATAGGCCAATTTTCTCTCTCCCAGACATGATTCTGAAAATGTCAACTACAAATGTACTCGATCTATCTTATCAGTTTGCTCAACTGGTCCATAGTTATTTAATGCCTTCCTTCAGAATACTTATCTTGAAGTCTTATATCCGATTTCTAGGTCAGTGCCAAGCATGTATCACTCCATGATCCTCAGAAGAATCTACCATAAACTTGGTGAGATCTTTAAGGCACAATTTATCCAGCCCATCTGCAGCTAAAATAATACCCATCTTCTACAAAAATCAGTGCGTTCCATGTGAGAGCATGTAATACCTTTCACTGGACTATGTAAACTTTAACATATTTTTACTCTTAACCGAGTGGTGATATAGTAAGAAAAGCCACAGACTCACAAATGTGAGCTCTTTTTCCTAATTTCAGAAAAACCCTCAAAAAATGGTGATTACACCTTTGGCTTGTACTTGACTTGTACAGAGGACACAATCGAAACTCTCTTGGGGTCTATACAAGTTTACAATGATTACTACCAAGTACTTTCTCTTTGCATTTCACAAACGAGAAGTCGCAATTCTTTGAACTGTTAGTCAATTCATAGCAGAAGTTCTCTGAAGGTCAGTATTACCCCTGGCTTCTTCAGTTCCTCAAGGACTTGTGACTGTCATGTTTAATAGCAATCTCATCACTATGGAAAAAAAAAAATGCAAGCTACACATCTTATGAACACAGCACCATCACCATACATGTTACTGCTTCACTCTTTCACAGACAAGCAAAAACAGGTGGTTTGGCTCTTTCTAAAACCAAACATCAGCTACCTCTGCATAGAAGAACTTGTCCAGAAATTATGTGTTGTCACTTGCCTTTGCTGCTGCAAGTCAACACATGTCCTTTCAATGAACATTTACACATCTGCAATCTGATCTAACCAGCATCATCAATGTAAAATTATGAAAGCACACTTTGAGGGCCACATACTCAAAGCAGTATATACTAATTTTTTTTTAAATATTCTGAACCTTGAAAAAAGTTTTTACCAACCCAAAGTATTTTATTAGGAAGCATGTCGGACTAAGTGGCTTTTCAATCACAGGATTTTCTTTCACTTTGCAAATGTGCTGAACTTTAAAAGGAATGCAAAAAATGTTATTACTAAAACAAATTTAGAGTAAGATTTAGCAGCACTAGATGAGCTCATACTTACCCTGGAGATACCCAGAAATTGTGAATTACCAAAAATAAGAAACTCACATCTAAAAATCCAATTTGGAGCAAGAGAAAAATGTCTACAACAGCATTAAGAATACACAATTCTAAGACAACAGAGTAGCACACTGTGTGTTGTGCTTCATTCTGTAAAAGTGGCCATTAGTTAAAAAACTGTTTCACAAATTAACTAAAATATCTACAGTGATTTAATAGGTGTTACAACCTCAACACAAGCACCTTTTGCCTGAATATATCCATTCACCGGCTTATTTCACACTGCTAATCTCTGGTGGTCCTTTACTAAAATTTGAATGTGACTATTTTGCAAGGGGGTGTGTTACAGAAAAGAGTAACTTTTACTTAGTTTTTCAAAGTACTCCTACTTTTTAAAAAGTGCAGATGTGGGAGGTGATGTGTTTCTGCGCCCGAATACCTAAGTTCTAGAGGACTCTTCCAGCACTTGTACCTTGAGCAAGCAGCAGCCTCCCAAGCCCTCAGTTTACACATCCATAAGATGGAAGTAAGCAAACGGACATCTAAGAGTTTAGTGCAATAAATGAGCCACTAGGTGTAAAGAATTTAGTACAAGGTAACAATATTAATGTTTTAATGATCTGGTAGCCTAGTGAGTGAATGAGCTGCAAGGCCAACCCAAAGGCTGGTAGTTCAAGTCGGCCAACTGCTCCATGGGAGAAAAAAGGACAACCTGCTCCCATGCAAGACACAGCCTCTGAGAAGCCACTGAAGGGTCAGCTGTGCATCAGTTCCAACCTGACAGCAATGAGGGGTTTCTGAGTGTTATAAAAAAATGAAGTTCTGTACAAGTGGTATCTACCAAACTCAACATTTAGTTCTCAGTATTCTAAATCAAACACTTGTTACTTTTAGTGCTTGTTAAAGCACCTGATAGGTGCCAGGCACTGCTCAAAACACTTCACAAATAAGTTCATTAAAATAACAACCCTAATACATAGGCATTCTTTTTCTTTTCTTCTCAGTAAGACAAAGGGAGATGACCTAACACTCAAGATCACGTGATTAGTAAGTGGCCTGGAGGAGCCAAAGCTACTCTTCCTGACTCAAGAGCCTATGCCGTTTGGGTTCAAATCTGGAAGGAAAGCAGCTCTAGAACATGCATTCTGGATAGCTTTCTCTCAAGCATCTGCAGAGTGAATCAATACATTTTGAATTGTGAAATCCTTGTATTTGAAAGAAAAAAACTTTGCTACCTCAAGGAAGCAGGCAAAAGAAGCACCTATGACTTGAAAGGATTTAAAAAACCACCTTATGCATATGGACCTTTCTTCGTATAGTTACTAAGCAATTACTATGTGTCATGCCCAAGCTGGACTGTAAGTTGAGAAATAAGATACACACACACACACACACACACACATATAAAAGACAAGTAAATGATATGTAGAAAAAAACTGTACAAACCTGTATAAATAAAAGGCATGTTGAAGCAAAGAGAAATCTAACATTATTGCTTTCTGAGAGTTCTACTTAACTAGAACTGCAAAGTAAGGTATTAAAACATTTTTATAAAATCTAATGATGAATTTAGTATTCAACTTGAGTAAGTGACAATGTTCCATCATCAAGGCTAATAGTAATTAATACAAAACTTCTCAAATCTCCTAAGTGACCAATCTTCAACTTGAAAGAGAAAAATCATGTAGTTAACATTAATGACTGCAGGAGTCACATCATGCAAGTACACACAAAACTATGTATCAGAAAATATAGTTTCATTTCATGTCTGTCTGTGCTTTTCACCAATAATTCAATACAAAAGAAGCTCTAAGTAATTCCTAATTATTAATGTAGGAGAAATGAGTAATTTAGAAATCTGAAATTTAAAAAACAGAGATGTACTTTTGGGGCAAAAGTGTTCACTAAAATTGGTATTATTTTAAATAGACCTAATTCTAAGTTGCTGAGTTTTAAGGGCTGGGCTTGGTTTTTTATTTTATTAGAAAGTTTACAAGTCATATTGAGTTTCATGCAATTACCTACATTTTGTTTTACAAATCTAAATTTGTAAAACATCTTTTTAAAACAGCTTTTTAATTGTATATAACACTTATAAGTTATAATGCTATTGGAGTTTAAAAGCTAATCTTATTAACTACTCATCAACAAAGAAACAAAAAAGGACAGAGAAACTTAATTTACTAGTCAGAAACAATGCATGCATTTCTCAACAAACAACTGCAATTAAATACATTTCAATACTAAAAAGGTGAGTATGACAGGTATATTTTGAAGAAAATGTTAGTTCTGAACTGATAAATGCACCTAAATTCCCAACATTAAAGATTTATAACATTATTATCCTTATTTTAGTAACTTACAGTGAAGAAAGAACATTTTTCTCTTCACACCAATTATCTCCGTTCCTAATGCTAACCACAGACATTTCATAGGAGCAAAATATAATAAAGGGGGAGAAGTCTGTTTTGCTAAAATATTAATTCATTTTTAAAAGTCCAGAATAAAAAACTCTCTTTTCTGTGTAAATGAATGCTAAATAGTCGTGTGTATTTATAGTGTCTTTCTGGCTAAAACCAATTGGGGGGGGGGGGGATAAAACTCAGGAAAAGAGATCAAAAAAATAAGATAGAATGTTTTAATTCTGTGCTTAAAATGTTTGAATTGACTTTTGTGACTACATCCATTTTAAATAAAATTCATCCTAAGAGAAACCTGAACACATCCGATCTACATTTTAAATTCATTATTTGCCCATCCATCTTAATTCTCAAGTAACCCACTTGAACTAAGAATCTTTGGAATGGGTTAACACTTCTTGAAAAGAAAGGCTAAAAAGAGATGCTTTGAAGTTAGCAACTGCCGTCAAATTGTATGGTACAAAGGTCCAGTGCTACATAGCTTAACTACATATCACTTACAGTGATACAAATCTTAATGATCAAAGTGAAAATCTGTATCATAGATAACTGTGACAGTACTCACTAAAGAGAGTAGAAGTCCAATTTACAGCAGCAGCTGAGTTCTAAAAGCATTGCGTTTGATTAATAGGGTTGACACACTAGGGCATGAACTATGAAGTGCACTATCCAGCATTCTGTAAATTTCTACCGGGTGCAGCCAAGATGCCCTTACTTAGGAGCAGTAAGACATTAGGACCACTTGGTGCCAGAGGGGTGTCAGATTACCCAATAGGCAAAGTAAGCAGGCAGGGATTTATACTCTACATCTGAAATGAACAATTTCCCATTTTTCATCAAGGATTCTTCTTCTCAGTATAGCTAGCTGACTTCTGTGCCTCTCTCAAGCCCACTGTACCGTCCTAATTGCAAGTTTCTTCGCAATTTGCACGGATGACAAGGATGGAGTAGCAGCCAGTAAGCAAGCATAAGTTTACTTGAGCTTATTAACGTGAAGTGAACAATTTCACATGAGTTTCACCACAAACACGGGAAACTGTTCACTTCAAAGTAAACACAATTAAGCAAACCTGCCCTCACCTTGCCTACTGGATAAATTTTCCCTTCCCATTTATGCAGATGTTTAATTCACATGCATTGGTCTTGCTGTATCATCTTTCAGTTTCTGGCACTTATGAAAAAACAATCCTTCAGTATTATTGAGGCCTGGTAGCATAGTAGGTTAAGCACAGGCCTGCTGAACCAAAGGGCTACCCTTCTAAGGCACCATCAGTGCAGCCCAAGAAAGATGAGCAGTCTCCTCCCATTAAGATGGAGGGTCACCATGAGTCAGAACTGCCTGGACACCAGTGGGTTTGGTGGGATAAAGAACGCATAGGGAGGTTCACCAACTGCCTCTGAACAGACATAACCTACGAGTAAGATCCTTGTTAAAGGAAAGCCTACATTAATCATTACTGTGAGAGCAGAAAATGAGAACAAATCCTTCAACCAGTAAAATATTAATTGAGCACCTACTGCTCATCGGCTAATGAGGAATCAGAATGTTTCTCAACATGTGAATGGCTTCTCTTAACCTGACTTACAGGAATAAACCACCATTACTGTGAAAGCACACTAATGCTCTTTAAATCTGTTTGTTAGAAATGGACACTGCCATTGTGGGGTCCCAACCTTCTTTTACCTCTCATTTTGCCTGCTAGCATCTCCTAAAGGCTTAACATAAAGACGGTCAAAAATCATTTTAACAAATTTAAATTCACAGTAAAGAAATTTAATATACACTCATCTATATTGCACTGCAAAAGAAAGGTATAAAATACTAACTTTGAAGGACTGGAAATCACTACACTATTTTCTTCTGGGCAAAATCCATGTTGTAACTCGATATAGGTCACCTATCCAGGCAGAATTAGACAAGACACAATGGTAGTCTCTGCCATCTTGGGCTGAATAACTTCAACTAGGCCTCCTTGGCTAAACTTGCCAGTAAATTAAGCTAACCACTAACAGCTATCCCGAAACTACCAAACCACAGAACAACCTCTTAGAAGTTCAGTTTCGAACTTAAAACCTCAGAAAGAAAAAAAAAATAAAAAATCATTGACTAGGTGTGAATACGAAAGCCGAGCAGAACCAAGATCATCTATGATCTTGTGCAAGGAAGGTACGCTTCTTTCTCCTCCACTTTTACGCACCAGGCTCCCAACTCCCAAACCACCTGTCAGTGAGGTCCTATCTCCAAATCCCACATCCGTCAACTACAAGGCTAACCTCCGCCCGGCAAGGCCCTGGCGGGCAGAACACGGCGAAGTACCAACTTCGCCATAGGCAACAAGCAAGCTCAGTCCCGAGACCGACCCACGGGCGCCCAGAGAGCCCAGCAGCCCCACGAGCTCCGCGCACCATCTCGACCGCCCCTTCCCCCCGCAGGCCGCGACTCCTCCGAGTCCCGGGTCTTGGGCGGCCGCGCTCCGCAGTCCCTGCTCCCTCTCCCTCGCCTTACCGAGCAGTAGCAAGACGAGTTGCCACCTCCGTGCACCGCCGGGGGCTGCCATGGGCGCGACGGGCCTGGGAAGGCCGGTGAGTGAAAAAGCCGAGCGGGGCGTGAGGGTCTCGAGTCGGTTGGCCGTTGGCGACCTGCGCCCCCCTGCTAGCTGCCCAAATACGGGGGCGGCAATTAGGCAAAAAGGCAAGGAGGTCGAGGACTGGGGCTTGGCAGCGACAAGAGTCTCCAGCAACTCAACAGGGCCCCGTCTTTCGGCTCTTGCAGGCCAGGAAGGAGACCCCGGCGGACGGCTTTGCCTATCATGTGACCGCCGCAGCGCAACCAGCCCCCACACTGTCACGTGAGGCCCCGAGGGTTCGAGGGCGGGGCGGGGCAGGCGGGCCTCTCGCGAGACCATTTGCGCCCCCGGCCGGCGATGGCGCTGCTTCCCACAGCTGCGTCATTGCGTTGGTGACCCGTCCTGGCGGTGCCCCCTGTTGTCTTAACCAAGCGATCGGGGAGCCAGGCCCGCGGCGCAGATGAGGGGAGAAGGGCTAGCAGCTCCCATTCTTGTCTGCGCGCTCGGAGCCCCACTGTCTCTCTAGAACTCTTTTTCCTGGCAAGAGTGAAGCGGAAAATCAGATTGGGGCAAAGGAAAAAGGGAAGTGCAAGTGGAAAGCGAGAGTGAAGGGAAAGAGGAAGAGCTGGAAACAGAAAGGAGACACAGAGATCATTTAAAAAAGCTGGAGAAGCCCCTCAAACCTCGAGCAACACACTTAAACACACCTGAAGCTTGCCTTCTTCCCCGTCAGTCTAACGAAAGCCTATCCGACCTAAAGAGTGGCAGTGAATTCTTTGATACTTAAAGTGAATACGGTATTAGCGTTGGCAAGAAGGTTTTGGAAGTGTTAAGGGTGGATGACAGTGCATATTTCTCGTTTAAATCGCTTCTGTACAGTCAGGAATTTGAGGAGGGAAATGATTGGCAAATAGGAAATAAGTTTCTCGGTTACTACACAGGAAGAAAACTGTTTCTTAACTTCCCAATGCCCTTATGGAGGAAAGGAATGGATTTGAAATCAGATGAAGTTGTCTAGCTTTCCAGTGACTAGCTGTTAAGTATTGGGGAAACCGCTACGGGCTGATGGTTCCACTGTAAAATGATATCATTGATCACTCGTGACCCTAGGAAAATCACCGAGAGATGTGTTGTAATAGTATTGAGGATTTCTCCAAATAACTCAGTGCTGAAACAGGTGTTGGGGTTGTTCTCCCCCCCCCCGCCCCCCCCCGCGTTTAATAAAAGTTTTTGGACTGATAGTCATGGAGGATGAAAGAGTTTAGGACCAGGGGGAGATGTTTCAACAAGTAAATTGAATATTACACTTTTGTGTTACAAAACAAAATTAGCTAAAAAAAAAAAACAACCCAAAACAGGAAGTGCCAAAAATGTGATCCAGGACAGAACCAACTTGGGTGTAGAGTTTAGAGGTCAGCAATGACTGGTTGTGACGTTTTTCTAAAAGATATAGCAGAATAGGAGTGTATTTATAACATGTTGAAAAACGCTCATTAGCCTAATCCATACATTATTGCACAGAAAAGCTCTCACTGCTTCTAGAAGGGTTCACTGTCCTTTTTTTTTTTGTTTTTCAATTACCTGCAGGATAAAGGTCACATTCCTTAGTTTGCCATTCTAATTGAGACATTGGGGAGGAAAACTTAGGGGTTTTGCTTGATTTTTCACTTTCCTTCTGCTGTTGGAAGCTCTTGCCAAACCTATTTACCTTAACCTACCTACTTCACCTTTTTCTGCAGCTACAATTATTCACATAATGTCCTAGGCCTCTTCCTTTCCAATCTTACCTGTCCTCCACTTCCTTAGAATATGTATCTTGAGCCATTTGGATTCAGATTTTGGCAACATATTGCCCTGCAGAGGACTTCTTTAAAATACTAAACAACAAAGATGTCGATTTGAGGATGCAAATGTGCCTGACTCAGTCCAAGGTATTTTCAGTTGACTCTTAGGCATGTGAAAGTTGGACAATGAATAGAGAAGACAGAAGAATTGATTTCTATTAATTGTGGTGGTGGTGAAGAATATGGTATATACCACCAAATGACAAAAGAACAGACAAAACCCTTTGGGGGGGAAAAATTACAAAACCGTGTTGGGGGGGAAAGGACACCTAAAAAATGCCCTTGGAGGTAAGGAGTGTGAGACCTTGTCTCACATATCTTGAATATGTTATCAGGAGAGATCAGTTCCTGGAGAAAAACATTGTGCTTGGTCAAGCAGAGGGTAAATGAAAAAGAGGGAGACCCCTCAATTAGATGGGTTGGGACAGTGGAGATTGTGAGAATGACACAGGATTGGTGGTCAGTGCTTCATTTTGTTGTGCATAATGTCACTCTGAGTTGGAATTTATTTGATGACACTTATAGTCCTTGATTTCTGTGGCTTGTTGTTCTTGTTGTTATATTTATTTGCTTTTGAAGACTTTTGTCTTTTTTTCCTTGTTATCCTTGTCTTTTCTTCCTGCTCAGCTTCTGATATGTTACGGGTTGGAAAAAGACCTGTAACCAAATAAGGCTGTAAGTAAAATGGGAACAAATAAGCACTAAGAGAGAGGCCATGAGTTCGTGGTTTTGTTCTGTGTTTAGGGAAAAAGGGAACTGTGATCGAACAGTAAGTCTGCTGATATTTATTTTAGATGTTCAAAGATTTGTTTCTTTTTTTAACAAATTGGTTCCAGAGACAAAATCTAAAACAAGAGAATTTCATTCTTTTTCATTATTATGTCATGATACACTCATAGGTGACCCTCCAAAGTCTTTCTCCTAAAAAGCAGCTTGTGGATTTGAACCATATGTCTTTTTGTTGGCAGCACAGCTCCTTACTACCAAGCCATCAGAAGAGCTCTCTCAATTCTTAGAGGAAGTGAGTGTTGTTGTTGTTATGTGCTGTTGATTCTTATCTGATGCATAGCAACCCTAGATGCAACAGCTCTGACCCCTGCTCTATCCTGAGCAAATTTCATCATACCTGACACACCTATCTTCATTATCCCAATCATTGAGTCAATCCATCTCATCCAGGGTCATCTTCTTTTGTGCTGTTCCTCCACCCTTCCAAGCATGGTGTTCTTCTCCAAGGATTAGTCTCTTCTTGCAACATACCCAAAGTTTGTCAGACAAAGTTTCAAAATCCTTATTTCCAAGGAGCAAGAGTTCCTGGTTTCATCCTCTCCAGGATGGATTTGTTTGTTCCCCCAGCAGTTTATGGTATATCAAATACTCTTTTCAAGCACCACAACTCAAAGACATCGATTTTTCTTCTATCATCCTTAGTCATTGTCCAGCTTTCTGATGCATGGCACATAACTGTGAAGACCATGGCCTGGATTAGGTGGCACACCTTAGTCTTCAGACTGACATTGTTGCTCATTGTTACTCTGGAGAGATCCCTGACAGCAGATTTACCCAATGCAATTTGTATTTTGATTTCCTGGCTGCTGGTACAAACGGTGTTGATTGTGGAACCAAACTGTTAACAATCTCATCCTCTTCACTGTCTATAATGATGCTGTCAATTAGCTGACTGGTGGAAATCTTTTATTTTCTTGATGTTGAGCTTCAATCCATACTGAAGGTTGCAGTCCTTAACCTTCTGCAGCAAATGCTGCAGGTCCTCCTCAGTTTCAGCAAGCAAGGTCGTGTCATCTGGATAAAACAGGTTGTTGATGAGTCTTCCTCCAATCCTGAAGCCACATTCCTCCTCATAGAGCCCAGCCTCCCAAATAATCTAATCTGCATATAAATTGAAAAGTTAAGGAGATAGGAGTTAAGGAGATGCATCCCTGGTGTATACCTTTCCTGATTTTGAACCATGCAGTGCTTCCTTGTAGTGTTTCCATGCAGTGTAACCATGCAGATGGTTATTCATTTTTAATATTGAGGTACAGAGTAGAAGACAGAGATAGTGTCAATGCAGTATGTGGAAATGTTATTTGAGCTTGGGTCTAGCACTGTCTGAAGAAGAGTGTTAAGTTCAGTGATGACTGGTGAAATTTCTAAAATATTGTCATTATCTCCTAACACTTTGGTGGTTAAAAACTATCAAATAATCTTGAGTATGGAAACAGACAAATCTGGCAGTTGGGCTTCCTTTTTGCAGACTTAACAAGGAAGTCACAGAAGCTGCATAAAGGACTTCTTCATTTTGGTTGTCTGGCCTCTGAACCTCCATTTATTTGGAGAATTATCCATCTTGAGAATATTAGTTTAGGCACTGCACCCAGCCACACAGCTACTCTATGCAGTGAATACTTGACCAGAGTCCAACTTGTTAGACCAAAAGGGGAACTAGTGATTGCAAAGACACTGCACCACTGAAAATTCAACTAGATACCTGGTGGTGATGGCACTGCTCCAGCAGTAATATGCATTTAAGGGACAGAGTTAAATACTGGCCCTGGTCAGGTCTTTATCAGTTTGGTTCTATTATAGTGTGTTTTTAGCTGTGGTTCTGGCTGTCCCTTTTACAGCCCTGTTTCCTGAGCATTATTCTGCATTCTTTTTGGAAATTATGTAAACTGTTCAAAGTCCTTTTAGCAAATTGTTTTTCTTGCTTAGGTCAAAGGCTTCATCAAATGTGAATTAAGAGTCTATGCAGAATAATAGTGTGCTCAAAATATTTTTTAAATGTTATAACCTCCTTAATGACTAAAAGGTAGGTGTTTAAACATAGCAGGAAATGACACTTAACAAACATTTTTGTTACATATGGAATTTGTTGTTGTGTGCCAGTGGAGTTGGAACCAACCCATAGCTGACCCTTGGTTGGGTTTTCAGAGGCAGTTAATTGCACAGGAATAGACTGCCCATCTTTCTCCTGGAAAGATGGTGAATTTGAACCACGAGCCTAGGAGACTGCAGCACAGCTTCTTAACCTAGGCAACCAGAGCTTCATAGATAGTGGAGTAGAGAATGTTAGAAATAGTTTTAGATTAATCCATCTTCTTCGAAGTAGGGAAAACAAAAGCTAGAGTAATGACACAAAAGAAA